GGGTTTAGGGTTTAGGGCAACCGCAAGGATGCCCAGACGTTCGACAGAGCACCCTCAACCAAAACCAAGGCTAACATGGTAGCCTGATTCACAGAATCTCGGGTCTCTGTTAGACCTCCTTAAAGGGATCCCAAGACTTTGGGGTTGTGTTCTGCGCGGCCGGTCCACGGAGTTCCCGACGTTTTGGCGACCAGACTCACCGGGTTTCGAGCCAGCTAGCCGCGATTGCCTGGAGGACTGGCTGAAGATGTCCCCGTGGCTTATACCTTAACCCCGAAATAACCTACGTTTTAAGGACTCATGTAAAGATTTCCTAAGTAACGAGCACCAAAAAGGTATGTCGGCCCACAACCCCCTGCCATGTACCCTGAAAGGCAAAGGGATACCGAAAGCACCCGGGACCATGAATCCTGCGTAGTGCGTAGGGTTTCGGGTTCCCTAAACCCTGAACCCTAAACCTTGTCGATGCCATGTATCAAAGCCGATCGAAGTCCTTAAAGACCTGTGGAAAAACTTAAGACTCGCATGAGTCAGGCCCGGAACTCTTAACAAACCCTTCAACCCCCTAAACCCTTTCGCTAATATAGGGGCCTGAATGATTACCTATAGTAGTTTGGGGGTTCCTTAGTATGACTGTAGTAGAACATACCCCCCCAAACCCTACTAAAATCATTAAGGCCCTTATATGAATCCAAGGCCCTATAGGTTTGCAAAGGTTGCTTAGGATCGATTCTCAAAGTTGGGAGCCTTCCGCGAGTTTCGCTGTTAAATGCCGGGCTTGGGTTGCTTTGTGTCGTTCCTGACGTGGAAACGGGAGAGGCTGGCAATGACGGCTAAAGCCGAAACCATCTAACCTCTTTCGGGTTTCGGGTTTATAGGGGTTTAGGGTTTATGGTTTAGGGTTTAGGGTCTAGGGTTTTTGGTTTAGGGTTTGTAGAGATCCTTGTCGTGTACATGCTGGTGGCTGTCGGAAACTCCTGCCGACGAGGCTATTGTTATCTGAAGGAGAGCAGACTTAGTTTTCGGCTTTGGCAGCAGCAGGGCCCCACTAGCATTGCCAGAACGACAGCACCCCAACCATCGTCTCCACCAGCCCGAACACCAGGACCGAAGCCGTAAACCTTAAACCACGAAGCCTCACGAACCGCCACGGCTCTGCCACTGCTTGTTACGACTGCTATTCCCTCCGCCTCCCCGACCGACTGCTGCTGCTGCTTCTACGATGTCGAGTAGTACCGCAGCTCATGGCATCGGTATTCACCACAGCGACCACGGCTCCGCCTTTCTGTTTCAACAGCCGCGCCTGTCGAGGAGCTGCAGTCGCTGCGAAGCCAGGTAAATGAGGTTCGTTCCCTCCTTTGGCCGATCCGTTCAGTTTCCCCGCCCTAAACCCTAACCCCTAAACCCTAAACCCTAAACCCTAAACCCTAAACCCTAAACCTTAAACCCTAAACCCCAAAAGGGACCCTAATTTAGAGCCTGTACCCCAACATCCGAAGCCCCAGATCCCTCAAACCCTATATCGTCCAAAAGTCTGACCTTCCGGGTTCAACCCTGAAGCCTAAACCTTAGCCGTGGTACATCTCAAAGGCTTTCGGAAGACCTTCGACTTTTCGTAGTTGGGTTTAGAACAGAGGCGTTGGTGTTTTTTTGGTTGATTTGTAAAGCCTTGAGGGTGTGGGTTTCCCAAAGCCTAAACACCTACACCCTTAAATCCTAAACCCTAATCGGGGTTTCAGTGCTCAGAGCATAAAGTTTTCCGCGCCTGAGATCTCGAAGCGAAGCCCAACAACTGGCCTAAGCCCTAAAGGGCTTAGTTTAGGGTTGGGGGTTCAATCCGAAACCCTAAGCTCTAGAAGAATCGATATACCCTACACCCTAAACCCTGAGCGAGGTTTCGCTTGGGTTGATGTGTTCCATCCTATCAGCTTGGCGCTCCAGGGCGTCTGTTCTCGCTTCACTGCTTTGCTTAGGTCATTGTAGGGTTTAGGGTTTAGGGTCTAGGGTTTGGGGGTTCTAGGCTTTGGGGCTTCTAGGGTTTGCTGGTTTAGGGTTTAAGGGTTTCGAGTTTGGGGTTTAGCACTTCAGGATCTTAGTTGTGGACATGAAGATGTTTTCTGAAATCTACAACTACCGGACCAACGTAGAGCCTAGCCAGATTGAAGCATAATGAATATTTTCATGCCCTTCTTTCGAGCCCCTAAACCCGCAGCCAATCCAGAACACATTTAAAGCTTCTAATGCAGAATGTAAGCATCCCCTAAGCCCTCTGAAGTTTTTAAAGACTACGACTCGCAGTTTCTGCAGCCCTCAAGCCCAAACCTTAAACCCTAAACGACAAACGCTAAACTTCAAACGCCATAGAACTGAAATAGAACCCGAATACCGCCCTCGTAGTTGCCATTGCCACCATACTAAAACCCCTGTGGACCTTTACAGATCCTTTATCGTGAAAAACCACAACCCAAACACGAAACCCCAAACCCTACAGCCCCATAAACCCTAAACCCTAAACCCTAAACCCTAAACCCTGAACCCCTCTAGATCCTTACCGCAAGCCCAAAGTCACGTCCGCCGGCCGCGCCCGCTCCGCGGTAGTTCGGTTTTGTTTGCTTTCCCGGGCCTCGGAAGTCGGAAAGCCGCGCTTGGGTGGGGAGGCACCGATAGGGGGTTTAGGGTTTAGGGTTTAGGGATTAGGGTTTAGGGGTTTAGGGTTTAGGGTTTGGGGTTTGGGGGTAGGTCTTAAGGGTTCCTTACAGGGTTCCTTTAAGGGTTCGTTAGAAAACTTGAAGGATATTCCTTAAAGCGATCCTTATAAGGGTTCCTTTGAGGGTTCCTTTGAGGCTTCCTTTAAAGGGCTCCTTTTGAGGTTCCTTTAAGGGCTCTATAAGGGGCTTCGAGTTTCAGTGAAGCTCGGAAGGATGTGGGGTGGGACCTCTTCGATTTCCGGGTGCTTCCGTTTCCCACAGCCCGGAAGCTGCAAAGCTTTACGTGGATAATGTTAGTAAGGTCATAAGTACCCTAATTGGGGCTATTATTATAGTTGCCTTATTTACAGCCCTAGTTATTAAGTCCCATGATCCTCCAAGTAATAATTAGAATAAAGGTTTTGGGGGTTCCTTTCAAGGGTTCCTTAAAGGCTATAGGGCTACTTTAGGGGTTTAGGGTATAGGGGCCTTATTAAGTGGACTAGGGCTTGGGTGTATACTATACTGTAATTATAATAAGGAGAAGCCTATTCTAATTATCAAGGCCCCTACATTAGTTCTCTAGATCAGGGTCCCATGCTCTTCATACGCGTGCCGCTTCGTTGTGGTTTCTTTGTTGTGGGTTCCTAAAGCGGGACCCTAATTCAGAGAGCTACCTACATGGGGTGTGCGGTATGTCGGGCTCCCGGTCAGGTCCATTTGACTTTGCTAGGCCCATTTTGTTACAAGGGGTGTACTGGTGCTCAGATC